TCTCTCTCCCTTCCTCTCTCTTAATCTATCTCTGTCTCTTTCTCTCTTTTTTTATGCTGGACCTGGGCCTTGAACTCAGGACTTGGGCACTGTCTCTCAGTTTTTGTGCTCAAGACTCTTTGGTAGGTTAGTTGAAGATCCAAGTCTTATGGGCCTTCCTGCCAGGGCTGGCTTCAAACCATGAACCTCAGCTCTCAGCCTCCTGAGTGGCTAGGATTGTACGTGTGAGCCATTGGTGCCCAGCTTAATTGCTCTCTTTTATATAAGTCATTACCAGAGGCCTCCGGAATGATCAAAAGAGTCCAGCCTCAAATATAACACAAGTGACAGTATAAACAGATATTTTGTAATTTTTTATTATCATTAAATAGTTGTACAAAAGGACATGCCATTTGACAAAACAGTTTATGAATATAATACATCTTGCTCAATGTCACCTCTTTCTATAATCCTTAAAAAAGAATTACCAGCAGAACAGCAAAAGCTTCACTTCCTTTCATCTCAATATTTAAGGTCTAGATCTTAATGTCTCTTTTACCCTTACTAATTCTGTGCTGGTGGGAATACTTTCCATTTACAATGACAAAAATGCAACTTCAACTGATTAAAACGCAACAGCAATAATAAGTTTTTTAAAGAGAGCATCTAATAGAAGACAATCACCAAGGCACTGACTCAAGCTGTTCCAATAGAAAAAGAAGCCTCTTCTCTTTTGGCTTCACAATTGGTCAAATCTAAGACACTCAGTCACAAACTAAGAGTCTATCTATTCAGCATTCACAAAAGAAGCTCAAGCCCAAGTTCTAGAATGACTCTGTGATTCTTGTCTTAAAGTTCCTGAACCAATTACTGATTCTGGCTACCTGGAGAATATTAAAACTTTCAGTATTTATGTATTTAATTTTCCATAGTCAATAGCAAGAATAAATATATGAGTTAATATAAAAGGCCTCATCTGTCAACATAAATTAAAGTGTACAAAATTATTTTAATATGAATAAATGTCATTTCATTAATGTTAAATACTTCCATTAATCTACCTAAGATGCAACTGTATGTTTTTTCAATAAATAGCAATCAAAGGCCTTTTGTGTATGAAAATCTAAATACCATTAAAATAAAAATTATTTACCCAGCTACAACTGATTCCAATTACCAAGTTATAAGTGAGAAACTCTAGAGAAGCACTACTATCAATTCAAGTGCAAACAGTAACTTAGGACTTCCCTTTTGATTAAAATACCATGATCCACAGTAGCCCACAAAATCCCCCTAAATATAGTAAAGAATATGCCCCCTTAGTATGTAAAAATATTAAAGAAACAAAACTAGAGGAACTGCCATGCTCTACAACAAAAAACATGATATGTATAATGTAAAAATCTACAAATCCATAAAAAATAATAAACTCAGTAATTTATGAAAAATAATCTACAAGTCAATAAAATTGTGTATTATAGTTGAAGAATTATACTACACAACACAGCTATTGAAAACAGCCTGTTGTGAATATTTTAAGTTGTATCTTATTTTTTCATGTTTTACCTTTTCTAAAAATTATGTTCATATCAAAATCTGATAAAGCTCCATGTTGTAAACCTTTATTTGCACATGATATTTACACATGATATCCTTCCAGAATGGAGAGACCCATGTAAACATGTGTCAACTGTGTCACAAAGAAGCAACACATTCAGGAACATGCTTGCTTTACAACAGAAAGCCAACAAACTAAATTTCTTTAGTATACCTAAACATTCATAATGAAATATTAAATAATTTCTCCTAAAACCAAAGCTTGTTGATAGGTTTCTATCAATTTACTTGATAGAGACACAATGAAAAAATCTTTGACAACACATTCTCTTTGCAACTTTATTTACAAACTAATTTACCAATTGTGAATATCTTCATCTCATATATGAATGTTTTAAGTCGACTATAACATCATTGTGCATAATGCATGCATTCACAATGAAACCATTTTATTTCTCATTGGTAATTCTTCTCCAAACTTCCACAATGAGAAACAGAAACAGCCCTCTCTACCTTAGCAAAAAGTAGAAAAATTACAGCCATATCAATATAGAACAAGTCATTTACTTAAAACTTCTCTGCAGAACTTTCAATGTGGAGTATAAGACAAATATAAAATAGCACCTAAAAACCAAACACTAATTTTCTCATATAGGCAAAAAAACAGGAAAAATCATATTTTGATAAGGATATTACTCTAGGACAAGGGTACTGTTTTAAGTAGAAACTGTTTTGAAGTTTTATTAGTTCCCAACCTTCCTATTATGTCAGACAGGGCAGTGTAATAAGCTTATTTTACTATTGCCACCTTAGATTTTTTCTTCCAATATTTTTAACTGCAACTGAAATTGGAGGAAACTAATCTCAGAAATAAAATTAAAGGCATCCCATCTCTAATATGTTACTCTGTATCATAAATGAATGTTATTTTGTTACATATTAAACAAAATTAAATCCTGATAATTATTTTTAATGTCTATAGTTTCCAAATACAGTTTTGAGAATTAGCTTAAATTTTCACCTGACCGTTTCTTTGTGAATGTTTTGAAGCAATAAAACCCTTCAAATGATTCTTTACATTCTGCAATTAATAATGCTTTTCATCACATATTCTTTGCTCCAAAATTTTCACTAAAATCTGTTGTAAAAATCTTTAAATATGTCCCCCCCCAATTTTTAAACCTAATTCTTTTATTCCAAAAAAAATCAAGATAGGAACAAGTTCTTCAATGAATTGAGGGATGTACCAATTGGTATCAATCACTTTATTTCTAAAGATTGTAAACTTAACAGCAAAGCTCATCTCTAAAATAATGTTTGCATATTTCTTGGTAGATTTTCATCACACTAAAGAGTAAAGTGTCTTTTACTTCTAGATAAATACTCCACTTCCTTTCTTACTCTGTGTATATCTAAAGAATCCCATCTGTTAAGAACTGATCCTGCATACATATCAACTGCTGCAGAGTCGAAACTGGTTACATATTGAAATCAGTTTCCAGATTGTGAAAGCTCAACTGTCTCTTAGGTTATATGAACTAAGAAAGCACAAAATACTATTATCATATTCTCTAAAGTAAAAATGATACTGATTAGAAAAAGGTATATACTAATACAGTAATTCAGATCCAGCTAAAATATTAACGTATTTTTGAAATTTCATTTTTATCTTAAAAAGAAAAAAAGACTAGTATTGACTTCCTATTTGCACCTAGTTAAAATTAAAACGCTAAGAAAATTATATTGCTATGAGTGTTCTGAAAAAGAACAGGTTATATCAACGTGGTGACATTCTTCCAAACTTAACACTGACTTTCTGTAGATATTTATTTGAAGGGTACACAAAAGCAGAAAGGGGCATTATGCATTCAAGCAGGAATAAATAGAGCAAAGTAAAGGCAGATCATAGCCTATCTTTAACTCAACAGACTAGCAAAATGGGAGGGGGCGTTAAACTTTTCTGTAAATGAAAGAGTTTCATAAGCCATAGACATGATCTAATCCATGTCTCAGGCACTAGCACTGCGTAGCTGCAGCTTTCTTTCCATTTTCCCATAGATCAAATAAAAGTAATTGCTTAGGCGAAAAAGAAGACTGCATGGTTGGGTGTTATAAAAAAAATCCCCTGGCAAGCATATTTTTATCATTCCTGTGACTCCACACTAAGTACAATAATCAAGTGACTGCTTCTGATTTACACCTTGCCCTCCCAGACCCAACCTTATATTATGTCAAAGGCTAGCTATTGCAGAGGAAACTGTTTTTTTAAATGCTTTGCTGCAGCAAGAACTGCCTTTACAAAGCACTAAAAATGAACTGCTCTTAATTATGCTCTGTTTATGATTCTCCTCTCCCCATCCTTTCCCCTTTCTTCTGCTGTCATCTTGAACACTCCTTAGCCTCTCCTGTAGGTAGCACAAAACATTAAGTCATACACAGTTCTGCAGTAACTCTTTCTTATCATGAAAGAAGCCAAAACCTAGGCTGCATTTTAAAATCTTTGCTTTAGTCTAGAGCCTCAAGCCACGCCGCTGAAGGCAACCATAGAAACCAACCTGTATGATTTCGTACCTTCTTCCCCTTTTAACACCTTGTGTGCACACAATTTAAAAGCAAAACGAAAAGACCGAGAGCTCAACCCATTCCGAGCAATATTCACAGAGCAGGGATTGCTGTTTAAGAGGTGGGGGGGGGGGAAGGGGGAGAATACTGGCACCACACTCTCCCATCACAGCCTCGGAATACATTCAAAGACAGATGCAAAACTGCATCCTTCTCCTCCTGCCTCGGAAACATCACACACCCCAGCTGCTCCAGTTGGAGCTCATTGCGCTTCTCACATTTCAGTAGCACGGGGGGGGGGGGGGAATTTCGGCTCCAGGGGCAAAGCTGTCATCCTCCCAGAACAACACCACGGACAATTGGACAATTAAGAGAGGGTTGGAGAAGGAAGCCAACCCTTCCCACCCCTCACCCCACCCCGGGAACCGGAGGCCTCCTCATCCCCTAACTAAACTCTGAAGTCCACCGAACACCTTTCTTTTTCTTCTTCCCCGACCCCCCCCCCCTCACCCTTTCCCCAGCCAGGACCGATTTAGTAGCCATCAGAAGTGAAGAGAAGCGGTGTGAAGTTGAGGCACCGCGCTCAGGTGGGCAGGAGAGGAGACCCCCCCACACCCCACCCCAATCTCCCGGAGGAGAGGACGGAGAAGGTTGGCGCGGCTTTAAGGGCAGCGCGCGGGCGGCCGGGCACGTCACCTGCCGGGCGACCCCGGCCCCGCCGAGCGCTCGCCCCGAGCCCAGCTCTCTCTCTCGGGGACCCTGACGGGGGGTGGGGGGGAGAGGAGGAGGGAGGGGTGGCGGGAGGAAGCGGAGCCACCGGGGACCGAAAATGGAAGGGAGCCCGGGAATATGGGGGGTGGGGGGGTGGAGGAAGGGAAAGCACACACGCCTTTCTCCCTTACCAGGTTGAGCACGGTCTCCACGATGTCCCGGTTGCTGACCTCTCCGACCTGTATGAGTCCGATCAACACGGCGAATTTCATCCGGATGTTGCGGATCGGCACCGAAGGGTTAATCATCCCCGCGGGGAGCACCACCGAGCCGGAGCCGGACGCCCCCCTCAGTTCCCCCATCCCGCTGCCGCCACCGCCACCGCCGCCTCCGCCACAGCCGCCGCTGCCGCTGCCGCTGGCCCCGACGGCGATGAGCCCCACGGGCTGAGGAGGTTCGAGCCCTGGGCCCGGGCCCGGCTTCTCGCTGGCCATGGGCGCCCTTCGTGAGGAGAAGGCGAGAGCAGCGGCGCCGCCTCCGCCGGAACCGTTATCCCCGCCTCGGCCCCCGCCCCCCGGCCG